GAGAGAGTAAAAGTAGTTATTCTGAAAATAAACAAAAGAATACATAGTTAAATAATAAGTCATATGAGATAACTGATTTTGTTGTACAAACAAAAAAACCATAAACCTTCGAAGAAAATTTGAAATGATAATTAACGATATGAAGGATATCGATGTCGATCAAAATGCACAGGTCAGAAATCCAAATTTTGGGTCTGAATCGGGGACCTGATAACTGTGTTAGTTTTGCCAAAGTTCAGGCACCTATCAGGTACTCGATAAGTTGGTAATATAAAATTTTAAATTAACTTTATCATAGCCACATATAAAAGTTTTCAATTTTATAATTAAATTGTCAATATATTACTAAGTAATCTTATAGACAATAAAAATATACATTGACTGTAAAAATATTAGTACTATATATTCAAAATTAAAAGAATTATAGATGTTTTAATTCGTACGGCTATTCAAATTTTGATCACTTATAATTCTCTTAATTTTAAAGAACTAAGACTAATATTTCTACAGTCGATGCACATTTTTATTGTTAATGAGTCTACTTAATAGCATTTTTGCGATTAAATTATATAATTAAAAACTTTTATATGTAGCTACGATTGCAAATTATTTCCGATTTTATATTTTAATAAATTATATCCGATAAACATATTTTTATAAAATCAGAAATAATTTGCAATCGTAGCTACATATAAAAGTTTTTAATTATATAATTTAATTGCAAAAATACTATTAAGTAGACTCATTAACAATAAAATTGTGCATCGACTGTAGAAATATTAGTTTTAGTTCTTTAAAATTAAGAGAATTATAAGCGATCAAAATTTGAATGGCCGTACAAATTAAAACGTCTATAATTCTTTTAATTTTGAATATATAGTACTAATATTTTTACAGTTAATGTATATTTTTATTGTCTACAAGATTATTTAGTAACATATTGACAATTTAATTATAAAATTGAAAACTTTTATATGTAGCTACAATAAAGTTAATTTAAAATTTTATATTACCAACCTATCGGGTACCCAATAGGTGCCTGAACTTCGGCAAAACTAACACAGTTATCGGGTACCCGATTCGGATCTGAAATTTGAATTTTTGACCTGTGAATCCAAGCCAAGCCGAGCCTGATATTATAGGCTTATTGGCTCGTAAGCCTTAGGCTCGCGAGCTAAGCTCAACTAAGGCCTAGCTCACAAGACTCGAGCCTTAAAAATTTTGGGACTTTAAATAAAAGCCCACATAATTTTTTTTTTAAAAAAAATTATCTGTTGCTTATGAGCTTAATATAAGGCTCGCGAGCTTACTATAAGGCTCGCGAGCCTACTATGAAGCTCGCGAGCTTACTATGAGACTCGAGTTGAACCTAAGACTTTTGGGCTCAGCTTGGCCTGAGCTTTATGAGGTTTGGCTCAGCTCGGCCTATAAGGAGCTTTATTTCTTTTACTGCATTTGTTCAAATTAAAGTAGAAGAAAGAAATTGTCCTTCGATTGTTGGAATAAGAGGATGTTAATGTAAATATTTTTTTATCATTTGCCATACTGATATCTGTAATTCTTTTGGACAAAAGATAATTTTCTCATTTGTTAAAATTGGTTGAAATGTTAGATCAATAAATGGAAATAATTATTGTACAGCTGATCCGTTGTAATTGACTTGTTGGAATTTTTTATTATTTGTTAATCTGGATTCTATTACTTTTTTTATATGCCAAAGACATAGTTGAATTTTTATTTCCTTCTAAACAAAACGAGCAGCAGATATTTGGATAAAATCTTTATCAGTAAGAAAAAATTCAGGTTCTAGTCTTCTTATTTTTAACTGGAATAAAAAATCAATAATAATTCCAGTTCTAATGCCGTTTTCACAATTTCCATTGTTTTCTATAAAAAGATAAGCCAATGGAAAACCTGTTCCATCAATTTCAGCAAGTACTGCATATAATTCGAATTTTAGATTGTTTGTATTATCTAAGTTTAAATAAAAAAAATAATTATTAATTAATTAAATTAAATTTAGTAAAATAAATTAAAAATAAATTAATATTATATTTACATGTAGCGTTTAGACCAATTTCATTTATTTTAAATTTTGAATTTTGTATTATATCCCATAATTTAGTAAAAAAACTAAGAGCATTTGAAGTTTCTTTTTGAAATATAATCTGATAAGATTTTTCTTCTAGCCACTTTTTTGTAGAAATAAAAGAATCATTATTATGGTTATATCTATTTTTATCAATTTCAGTTCACCAAAAATATATTTGTTTTTGTCTAATATTGATATTTAAGTTACGTTCTACAAGCCTTTTATAAATTTCTTGAGGTAATAAATCTATATTATTAGATATAAATTCTTTAATTTTATCTGGAATGGATACATTAGGACGTACTATACATGTTCCCAAAATTGATTTTAGATTTTTGAGGTATTTCGACTTTTTGAGATTTATGCAAAATCTATTCTATATATGGAAGTAAAAAAAGTACCTAGTTATATGTATTTTTAATCAAAGAATAAATCCGAGTAGTCAAAAAATTTCAGGTTTTAAGTAAAATAATTTTGTCTTCTATGAAAAACTATTTTAACTTTTTTTCTCAAAATTACAATTTCGAGGTACCAAAATAATTTTGCGTGCAAGTATAGGACATACTGAGTGTAAAACATGAAATATTTCTATTTCAGATAATGTTAATGCTTCATTAATATTAATTTTAATACATCCTTTGCATAGAAAATGTTCCATTGATTGTCTATCTTGATGCTTATTAACATTAGAATGTTTTTTTGATTTTTGAGCTAAACATTCTCTTTGTGAACAATAATAATAATAGTTTATTGAATTGGACTTCTTTGTATTATAAGATTCGTGGTATCTAAAAATAAATTTTTAAATTAATTATAAAAATTAATAAATTAATTTATTTAAATTTATATTATACATACACCCAAATATATTCATCTATATCAGATATTATTTCTATAATATGTTCAACTTTTTCTTTAGAATTACTTCTAAAGTAGTAATATTAACAGTATAGAAAAACTTAAATTCTAAATTAATATTATTTTCTTGTTATCATTTGTTACATTTTCAAATAAATCAAAATTTTCAGCAATAAAATCATTGAAATTGGAAAAATCAATAATTAGATTATCATTTTGCTTTTTTTGATTTTTTTATTTAATTTTCACTGATAATTTGTTTTATTTTGAACATGACAGGTATCGCAAATATGATAAGTTTTGTCATTAGTAATAAATAAACTTAATGGTAAATTTTTTTCACATCTTTTGCATTTTTGTTTTTCATTATCAATATTTTTATTGGTTAAAGGAGAACTAAAACTCATCTATAAACTTTGTAATATAAAATGTATAAAATATAAGTATATAAATAAACATTATAGAATAAATAAAAATTGATAATATAATAGTAACATCAATATATAAATATTCAAATTGTAGCTTTCTTTGTTATTACCTTCGTTATTTATTATTTATTTATTGGTTTCTTTGTTTTAAAACAGGAAAAGCAGGAAAAACAAGAATGAAAAAGATATATTGACGTGTACAAGTACACAAATAAAAAATAAAACACAGGTCAAATATTTGACCAATTATATGAAGTGACGAAATCAGCACGTGAAGGGGGTGGAAAAATTTCTGGTGATACAGGGTAAGTGTAACTATCTCGAAATTTGGCCACCTAAATTTAATGTTTGCTGGTTTAAGGTGTCCTGCACTGTACTACTACTTCAAAAATCGATTTTTCAAAAATTTAAAAATGTGGAGTCTTATTTTAGGTTTATTACCTTTTTTGGAGGAGGAGGAGTAGCAGCCCATATGTCTAGCTATTTTAAAATTTTGATTGGTCAGATTAATTTATAACACGAGGCCATGATAAAAATACAGGGAGATCGCTTCTCGTGTACCATAATAAATAATGGGTACTACTCGCATACCTTACGGAAACAAGCTGAAGAGGAATTGAGAGAGTTGCTTTACGGAGATCAAAAAAGAGAACAATAGTTACAAACGCAGGAAAGCGAGTTACTTTCTAAATCACTTCGAGGTATATGAAATTGCACAGCTAATTATTAACGGATATTTTCTTATATATATTTTTTTTTGAAAGACTTAGACACAAACAATCGGTTGTCAGTCATACTGGTTACAAATAGATGTTTCACTCAGCAGGGTGTGTTTAGACTTTTTGTTATTTTAGGAAGTAATTATAAGACAAAAGTTTATTGCTTGGTTATTTGACTTTAACAGTCAGAACACGAAGTGGTAGGACGAAAAGCGGCATATAGAATCATCAAAAATTTTACGCAGAAGGTCAATGACGAGGAAGAATTTCAACCGCCGCCAAAAAGAGCTAGAAAGAGAGATAGAAACCAGAGGATCAGACAATTGTATTTTTCTATTTATGTCTTATTTTTTTAAGTTTTAAATCTTCCAATTCCAATATTATTTTTGAAATTTACAAAGAGGAAGATGAGCCTATATCCAAACAAAATATCCGCGATGTGCTTGAGGATGATGAGATACAATCAATTCACAATAATGATTCTAGTTCCCGTGAACCAACGGATGAAGAATTTCCTCAAGAAACCGAAAAGGGATTGGATATCAATCCTATTGAAATTAATCAAGAAAATGCCGAGAAAAAAACTATTTCGGATGATATTATCTAAAATAATAATTGATGATTTGATTTTTTTTCTATCAGATAACAGACATTTTGTGGAATTCTATTGAATTTTCAAATTCGACAAAGGAATTTTTTTTCAACTTATAAAGAACAATGCCCTGATGGTGATCTAATTGACCTCCTGCTGAATTCAAAACCTACAGCAATATCGTATTTAAGAGAAATGGATGTTATAACGGAATCATTGATTCCTACAAATGTTCATGAATTTCTTGTAAACTTTTTTTCACAAAATCTAACAGCCAAGGAGTGGAATTATCAAATTGATGATTTAAGAGCACCGAATAAGGAAGATTTTATCATGAATTCTGTAGTTCGGGTTTTATGTAGAACGTTGCCACAGTTGTATGTAAGATTTTTATATTGGTTTATTTTTTTTCAGATTCCGTTTATTTTCACTCGAAGAACAAACCCACTCTTTGATATTACAATTATAGAACGTGCACACCTAAACGCCTTTGTTCATCCGGTTCTAGATGCATTTCTGTGGTATATCGCGGATATGCATTATGAATACGTCAAAAAACCATGTTAAAGGCAATCGTGCCGACAGGATCAGTTATATGACGGATACGGATAAACACCAACTAATATATATGGAAGGATCTCGACCAGTAACAAAAGATGAAAAAGAAATTAATGATGTTAAAAAAAAATTACAGAAAATTTGAAGAATATATTCAAAAAAATTGTGAAGAAAACAGTTAAAAATAGACAACGATTACCTAAGAAGCTGTATGTATTTGGATGTCAGAGTTTTCGTCTCCAAATATATCTGTATTTCCTTGATTATTGTGGTACGTATTTTTTTTTTCTATTGAAAAATTTACACTATAAAAAAAATTACTGATGATTTGTTAATAACAATTCATATTGATAACGCTAATATCCCTCGAAAATTTTCTGAAATAAAATCATTTGTATATTTTTACGAATCTGTATTAAAATGGGCGGTATGTATTAATTGTTAATAATATTGAACTTCCATTAATCTTATGTATTATTTTTAAAATTAGTTATTGGTACGTGATGTTACAGCATCTTTTAATAATGCAAGGGCTGAACCACGACTTTCGTTTGCTGATGCTCTTCTTCGACTGGATTATTGATCTTTACAAAATTAAATGATTGCAATAGTGGCATTTTATAAAATATTCTCTCAATTACTTTGTAATATAAATAATATAATAGAATTGCTCTCTTAAAATAATTCAATTTCTTTGCATAATTCTCTATTCTGTACGTGAGTTTTTAAAAATTCGGGCTGTATTCTTTAAAATAAAATCATGTGCACATTACGCTAACACATCTTTGATTTTTTTTTTTAATAAAAATAATTTTTTTACCATTAAAATTTATATTTTTACCATTAAAATTTATATTTTTACCATTAAAATTTATATTTTTACCATTAAA